ATTTAATTATGTATACTGTGATCCCTATAGCAATCACTAAAAGAAAGCTAAGAAATAAATAAAAACACTAATAGATAAACTAAAACAGAATTCTAAAACATATTTGTTAATTCAAGAGAAGTTAGGAAAAGAGAAATGAAGAAAAAACAGAGAACTTAAATCAAATTGCATCAATAATTAAATTAAATGTTAATGGATTAAACATTCCAACTAAAAGGCAGATATTGTCAGACTGAAAAACAAAAGCAAGATCCAACTATATGCTGTCTCCAAAAGAAGGACTATAATTATTACAATTCAGTGAGGTTGAAAATAAATGAGTAAAAAAAGATATACTATGAAAACAGTAAGCATAAGAAGGGTGGAGTAGCTACATTAACATCTGATAAAACAAACTTCAAGACAAAACTATTACCAGAAATGAAGAGAGACACATTATAATGATAAAAGGATGAAATCAGAAAGACATATCATACATGTGTAAGTACCTAAGAATAAAGCTTCAAAATACATGAAGGAAAAACCTTACAGAAATAGAGAAGTAGACAATTCCACAATCATAGTTGGAATGGTTTAACATCTCATCTCAGTAACTCATAAAACAAGCATACCATTAGTTAATTCAATTAATTAATTTATTGATTAACTTAAATAATAAAAAATCAGGAAAGACAGGCAACATCAACTACCTTAACCTTACTGATATTGTAGAACACTACACCCAGCAACTGCAGAATATACAATCAAGCATAGTCGCACTGCCTAATGATGTTTCGGTCTATGACAGACGACATATACAATGGTGGTCCCATAAGATTAGTACCATATAGCATAGGTGTGTAGTAGGCTATACCATCTAGGTTTGTGTAACTACACTCCATGATGTTCACACAACAACAAAATCACATACGACGTATTTCTCAAAACATATCCCTGTCATTAAGCAATGCATGACTACATATTTATCAACAAAGACTATATACTGAGCCATAAATAAGTTGCAATAAATTTAAAAGGACTGAAATCATAGAGCATTTTCTCTGATCACAATTAAATTAGAAATCAAAACAATAAGATACCTAAGAAATCTAAAATTTGACAAATTGAACAACACAATTATAAACAACTGAATGTGCCAAAGAAGACATCCCAAGGGAAATTAGAAAATATTTTTTGATAATGAAAAAACAACATATTAAAATTTCTAGGATGCAGGCAAAGTAGTCCTTAGAGGGAAATTTATAGCTTTAAAATTCTTACAGGAAAAAGTGCTTATTAGGGGATAAAAAAGAGAAAGGTCTAAAATCAAAGGCCATGATTCCAATGTAAAAAAGCCTAAAAACACAAAATCAAACTCCAATAAGGAAAAGGAAGGAAATACTAAAATTACAGCAGAAATTGATGAAACAGAAAACACAAAAGATAGAACTAATGCTAACTTAATGTATCTAAAAACAAAAGTTAACTCTTTAAAAAGATTAACCAAAGTGAAAAAAGCCTAACCATACTGATAAAAAGAGAGAACACAAATTACCAAAATGAGGAATGAAAGAGAGGTTATCACTACAAAGCCTAGAAACAGGAAAGGCATAAGAAAGTAATACGTAGAACTGCACACCAAAAAATTTGATAACTTACGTGAAACAGAGAAATCCCTTAAAAATACAATTAATTAAAACTGACAAAAAATGTAAACAAAACCTGAATAGCCATTATATATATATTAGAAAAGTTGAATTTATCAAAACCTTACCACAAAGAAAATTTCCAGCCCAGATAATTGTATAGGTGAATCCATCAAACACTTAAGGAAGAAGTAACACTAGTGTTACACAAATGTTTTCAGAAAATAAAGGAAGAAAGACTATTTCCCACTTCACTTTATGAGGCCAGATAACTCTAACACCAAATACAGCTAAATACAAAGAGGATAATACATTATGGCCAGGGAATATCCCAGGAATTCAAAGTTGGTTTAACATTTGAAAATCTAATAAGTAACTTAGCATTTAACAGAATAAAGGTGAAAAATCATATGATCATCTCCCTATATGAAGAAAAAGAAGTATCTGGCCATACTCAACACCCATTCATGATAAAAACTCTCAGTGATACAGGAATAGAAGAAACTTCCTCAATCTGATAAGGCAACTGATGAAAAATCTACATCATATTGGATGAATTTTTTTAAAAACGCAATATTATAAAAACATTTTATGGAAATCTAAAAGACTATATGATATAAGTGGAGACAATATTTTTAACCTAGACTATAAACCCAAAAGTTACAAAAGACACATTTGAATAGATAAAAATCTAAAACTTAAGAATGAAAAATTATTATAAATAAAGACAACAGACAAGTAGTACAACAGGGAAAAAAGAATTAATTTAAAATCTACAAAGCACTTCTGCAAAGACAAGTCGATCAACACTTAGGAATAGATAAGTCACAAAAAAAGCAAATCTGAGTGTCCAATAAATTTATGAAAAGGATGCTCAAATTTATTAGGCTGAAAATAACAATGAATAATACTTTATAGCCATCTGTTGTCTGTCAAAAAGTAAACAGAACTTAGACCTGCAGGCATTTAAACACTCTCATACATTGCAGGTGAAAACATGATGAACTACAGTCTTTTTGGAAAACATTTTGGGAGTAACTATTAAATTTAAAGATACACATAGTCTTTGATCCAGCAATCCCACACTTTAGAATGTGTCCCACAAAAATGAAAAAGACATGTCTTGTGATCCAGCAATCACATTCTTGAGGATCACTTTCAGAGAAAAATCCCCACTACACAAGCACATATATAACAGGGTACAATTGTAACAATGTTTATGGTAGCAAAATAATGGAAACAAACAACTACCACTGATAGGGAACTGACTGGATAAATTACGGTATAACCTATGGATAGGTTACCTAACCTATGTATGATAATATACTCTAGGTTCCAATAAGTTGTCATCCCAAAGACTGACTTAAAGCTTTCTCAGATGACCCGGAATATGAGATAGTCTATGAGATAGTGTTGAGTGACAAAAATAAGTAGAAAAGCTGACAACCAAACAAACCATAAAACATTTTAAAAGTTGCATCAGTGTACACGTTTGTGTTCCTGCACACTGTATCATATTGTAGAAGATAAATATGCCAGATTGTGAACATGGGTTGACCTTCAGGCATCAAGAGAGGACGAAGGCATATGTGTGGGATATGTGTAGACCTCAACCAAAAAAAAGGAAAAAATGACCTTTAAAACTTAGGTAAATAATTATTTATAATCTATAAACTCAAGTAAAATACGTATTTGTATGTATACAAAGAAACTAAGTGAAAATTAAACTTATAAAATGTTCAAGATATGATCCTTGAAAATCTTTCTTTCATCTCAATCTAAGTTTGAAGTTTTGCAATTTAAGCTCGATTTTTCAGTTCTCTTCTTCTACACAGAAAAAAAAAAAAAAAAAAGTCCTGCAGTCTTTCTTCATCTCAGAATTAAATTTTAAATTAATTTAATTTCCTATTATCTATGAGAGTTATATGACTCTGCAGTGGTACTGAAGGAAACACCAGAAAATATGTCATGAAACTAAGGAAAGAGAACAGGTATGTACACACCACCGTTTGGCCATATCCTTTTGGGGAGGTTGCTCTGGAACTCCAGGCAGCTTCTTCCTCACAAGGAGGTAATTTACATTATACATAGTGCACGAAATCAGAGAATAGTAAAGTTAGACTTCATGTTCAGTATTAAATGCTGATTTCTCAGTGTAAATCTAAACTCCATAAAGTCCTCTATTAGAAAAAAATAACTAAAATAGATCAGTTTTTTCAAATAAAGTTGTCACAGAACCACGTCTACAGAAAATAAATACTCCTAAATTTATTCTAAAGGGTCTGGGGGAAAGAAACCTAAAAGTCAAATTTTCACATAATTTCCAAGCTTCAACATTAAAATGAATAATAAATTTCATTTGGAGAAAAAATGAGCAGCAAAAATTTCAGTCAGCATAAATAATTTAAATACAAGTTAAAATATGTTGACATTATTCAAATTTTATTGCATATCTTTGCATGACTTACAAAGTTGTCTAAAGAAAACATCTCATCTATTTCTAAGTCAAACCAGTGCTTTCTATTAGAACAAAACAGATTGCAAAGAATGTTTTAAGAGCTCACTTTGAACTTCAATAGTGTAAATACTATAATAAGGATCCTACAGTCAACATCACAAATTACGTCTTCCCTTATCACTATAAGGCATTCAGCAACAGGAAGCCCTGATTTTAAGGCATACTGCATTCCATTTTGACTTAGAAGATCAACAGGTAGGGTACAAAAAGCAAGAGAGGGAAAGCACTTTGAAAACATTACAGCACTAAATGGAAATGAATAAGCAAATAAAAAAAACATATATAACCATACAAGAGAGGAAGAGAAATCTAAACTTAGAGATACAAGCAGCAGAAACTAGAATACAGTTAAGGCAGGTGAACTGTTTCAAAGTAAAGAACATATTTTAAAAAATTAGAAAACATTTTAAAGAAATATCCTTCTGCACATATGCAGAGAAAAACAATTTACGTCTTAAAAAGTATGGTGGAGGCAGATCGTTAGAAATTTCTATAACTAAAAAGGTCAAAAAATCAGTTAATCTCTAATTTTTTTATTTATTTATTTTTTTTTGGTGAGGAAGATTGGCCCTGAGCTAACATCTGTTGCCTATCTTCCTCCTTTTTTATTTTATTTTTTTTCTCCCCAAAGCCCCAGTACATAATTGTATATGCTAGTTGTAGGGCCTTCTAGTTCTTCTATGTGGGATGCCACCACAGCATGGCTTGATGAGCGGTGTGTAGGTCTGTGCCCGCGATGCAAACCAGCAAATCCCAGGCCACTGAAGCAATGCGCATGAACGTAACCACTACATCACTAGGCCAGCCTTCAATCTAATTCCTTAAAAACAAGATAACTACATAAAAATAGAATTTACCTTTTCAGATTCACCATTGCCCAGGGAATCCCAGTAGGTGTGTTAAAGGCAGGAAGGAGTTTCTCAGCCAACTGGACTGCTTTAATCTTGAATATCTGAGATAAAAAGCATGAATGTTCATAAATTATAGCCATCAATAAGTATTTGCTAACGTCTTAAAGGACGCTACTTCAATATACTGATACACAGAAGTAAAGGGGTAAAAAAGGCATCTCCTTGGTACCTGGAACACACAGCAATCAGAGAAAATGTTTGCAAACTGGATATTGAGGAAAGCTACCCAAGATGGAATGGCTTAAAACTACAATTAATTGAAAGGGAAGGTCTTAGTTTTGATGTTGATACTATCTGCATTTCCAGCTGGCAAAAAAATCTAAGAGAAAAGATTAAGCTGTGGAATTTTCATCCACAGTATAAAAGCTTAGTAGAAATATTAAAAAAGAAAAAGAGAGCGAGAGAGAGACACAACCCAATCAGGATAAATGCCCTTGAATTACTATAAGCATGTTTATGTCTCAACATTTTCCATCAAGATTTAACCACATTATTATTTTTTTTTTAAAGACTGGCACCTGAGCTAACATCTGTCACCAATTTTTCTCTTTTTGCTTGAGGAAGAGTGGCCCTGAGCTAACATCTGTGCCAATCTTCCTCTACTTTGTATGTGGGACGCTGCCACAGCATGGCTTGACAAGCGGTGTGTGGGTCCCTGCCCAGGATCCAAACCCACAAACCCCAGGCTGCCGAAACAAAGCATGCAAACATCACTATGCCACCAGGCCAGCCCCCATACATATGATTTTTAAGTAGCTGGATTTTTACTCTATCTTTTCCTGCTACTAACATAATAACACAAGTATCTTTTCCAATTTTCACAAAGTTGTCTAACTTCCTGTGTCCATTTCCTCTCCTACCACTCACTCATTCTAATTCTTCTGTCCCCGTTATTCCCCTGAAACAGCTCCTACTAAGTATTAGCCACACATATGAGCAAAGAGCATTTTCAGTCATTATTCACCAGCTCCTCCTTAAAATATTTGTCTCCCTTGTGTTCAATAATCCTACAATTCCCCTCCCTCCTTCACTGACTCCTCCTCCTCATATCTGACCTTTAATGTTGTGTTTCTCGAGGCTTGATTCTAGGTCCCCTCTCTTCCTATCCTAAAGTGTCTCCCTGATCAATTTCACATGTGCTTGTTTCAATTATCAGCTACACAGCAAGTGACTCCCAAATTTACGTCACCAGTCAAGACTTCTCCAGTGAGTACCAGATCCATTACATGTGTCTACTGCCTATTTCCACTTGAACATATAGCAAAATCCCCTCATGCTCCAAATACTTAAAATGAACTGAAAACTTTCCTCTCTCAACCTACTATTTTTAAAATGTTCACTATCTAATCACTGTTCAACCATCAGTCAACTACCAAAACCCAGAAACCTGGAGACAGGTTTCTCCTCCTTTTGCCTCATTTCCCCCTCTAAAATATCACCCAATCCTTTTGAATTTGCCTCCCAAATCCTTTGAAACCATTTATATCTCTCATCTCTACAACCCATTTTAGTTCCAGCTGCCATTATTTCTTGCCCAAAATATCACAATGGCTAACTGGATGAATGGAACACACACAACTACCCCCACCCCCACCCCCAGCTATAACTTAGAACTCTTGGTCTATAACTTTCTTTTGTCACTGGATATATCAAGTATATTTTTCCTGGTTAAAATATATCAAATTTACATTCATAGTTGCAAAGTACTCTATCGTAACAGATGTAACAATTCAGGTATTTCCAAACATTGGCTACTACAAACACTAGTGCAACTAAATATCCTTCTAAGTATACTATATGTATTCAAGTAGTTACTTTTAGATAATAGATTCCCAGAAGTCGGTTAACAGGATCAGAGTATTTTAAGTTTTAAATGTTTACCAGACACTGCCAAATTATGTCGTATCATTTGTATTCCCTCCAACAGCTATCATACATTTGTTAAAATTCAAACTATACATTTAATTACATACTATACATTTAAAGTGGGTGTATTTTACTGTATGTAAATTAACCTCAATAGAGTTGTTGAAAACAAATAATCTTTGAGCTGGGCTTTCAAGTTCTTTACAGAGAATGTGGAAGGTGAGAGTTTTCATTCAGAAAATTACTGTATAGCTTTGTAAACATAAAGGGAAATAAAACATTGTGGTCTAAATACATAGCTTAATACATGCAGAATTTGGGGGCTCCTCCTCTGTGACTCCCTTTTATCCTGGATTTCAAACCATAATTTCTAATTTCTGTGGTAGCTCCAAACTCTGTCTTCCGACTTGTCAAACCAGTAACTGTAATTGCAATTATGACACACGAATTGGTATTACTATTGTGACTTTAAACATGTATGAATGTATACAAATGTATAGATGAACTCACACATTTAAGAGGAAAATGCTGGAGAGTATATTTAAAAATGTTATCTGGGTCAGCAAAGCTTACTGGAAAGTTTTGCCCAATTACCAGCACATCTATAGAAAACGAACAGATGGAATTTTCAGTGAAAATGGCAGCAATTTCTGGAGCAAAGTCAGGCTTTTCAAAAATAAAATGAGAATTAGTGCAATAAGGACAATAATGGCTAATATTTAAATGAGGAAAATCAACACTCTAACATTTCTCTGTTTTTATTTAGAACTTTACTTAAAAGACTTTAGGTCAAAAAAAGATATTCTAGGGGGCCGGCCCAGTGGCACAGTGGTTAAGTGCACACGTTCCACTTCTCGGCAGCCCAGGGTTCACCGGTTTGGATCCCGAGTGAAGACATGGCACTGCTTGGCACGCCACGCTGTGGTAGGCGTGCCACATATAGAGGAAGACGGGCATGGATGTTAGCTCAGGGCCAGTCTTCCTCAGCAAAAAGAGGAGAATTGGCAGCAGATAGCTCAGAGCTAATCTTCCTCAAAAAAAAAAAAAAAGATATCCTATTTGTCTTAGAAAATATCTCTGAACTTATTCAGAAATGATCCTACCTATATAGGCAATAGAGAATATTTGTTTTGGTAAAGAAAGATTTTATTGTTGTTTCTTTTATTTTGATTTTATTATCTGTGAAATGTATTAAGCTCCACATAACCATTTCTCTTTTTCATCTGAGAGATTTCAGAAGCAGTTATCCACATAAATTATATTATCATCTGACTCAGGCAGGGATGCCACTTTGATAAACGTTAAAAAATGAGAAGAGACAATCCTGTAAAAGAAATGCCATATATTTGAAACTGGCATCAAATAAACATAATAAATCATCAAGATTTTTTAACTTGTGAATATTTAACATAAATAGCCTTGTCCTAAGAAAATAAAATAATAAAGCTTCACATTTATGACATTAATAAATCAACAGGAGAGAGGAACACTTTGTTAGGATGGCATATAACCCTCATTTGGTTCCCAATATAAGAAAACAGAATGCATGTCAAATGTTCATTATTCTAGTTACATACTACCTTAATATAAGAAAGGCATAAGCCACGTTACAAATTATAGTTAGTTTTCTGGCTTATGTAAGACGTAGGAAGTTATTGTCTATCTAGTATTAGAATAAAGTCATATTCAAATTATTTTTCTATGTTTTATTTATTTTGAGCAGATCGCAGAGATTTTTTGTTGGTTTCCCAGAATAAATATGGACCAGAGCTTTCAATGTAAAATGATCAAGTAGAAAAGCAAAATGGCCAGTAAAATCCTATTATATAAGAAAACCAGAAAAGTAAAACATGTTCTATTTACTTTTTAGTAGAATAGACTGTATTCCAAGAAATTAATTTATCATTTCTATTGTTAAATAAAAGATTCCCCATCCATTAGAAACACAGAATATTTACCACGTAAGAAAAAGTCAAAGGAGAAAGAAAAGTAAAGTAGTATCTATTGACTCAGGTATTATGTTAGGTGCTCTCCCATAATTTAATCCTCACAACAACTCTCAAATGAGTTCTTGCACATTTTCAGAGATGAAGAAAGTTAAGTTATAGAAGGTAAATAATTTGCCAGATATCCTTACGAAAGGGAGGCAGAATAGGGAGTCACACCTCTAACTCTAAGGTACACATGCGTCCCTCCACTCCAAAATGTTTCTTCTTGAGGTCTGAGGCATAAAAATGGCAAAAATGAAAATACTGGTAACATCACATATTTTTTCAGCATTTCTTGTGTTTTCCTACAGCGAGAGCAAAACCAAAATTTCAACATTTTGTTTCAACCTTCAGACAGGGAGGCTAACGTGAAACAGCCAAGACTGATGCTTCTCCTTCATAAGCTGCTCATAATTAATTCTGAATCATATGCCTTTTGATATGAAAATTAATCCAGTATGTCAACTATACCCAAAAAAACTTAGTACTTCCTCTACATAGTCCTCTACATAGATAAGAATGAAAGTAAGGGGAAAAAAATGCTCTCATATCTCAAGGCCCTGTTATAATGTCTAACATGGAAAAGAAATTCTGAAATTGAAGGCATCAAAATAGCTCCATTTTCTTCCTCCTTTCATTGTTTAATATTTCACTCCAGAAGCTCCTGAAGTTAGGGGTCTGTGCCAAGAAGTTATGCCTAGGGTGGGCAGCAAGGTCCTGGAGACAAGTTAGAAGCAACATGCAGAAAGTGAAGCCAGCCAAACAAAGGGGAGAGACGTCTGAGGGGTTCACGTGAGGCAGATGCACTAAACACGGCAGCAGCCTAGCAAGGCCACGAAACTGGTTTCCTACAGCAGGATTAAACAAACAGCTAAACACGTTAGGAATAAGAGGAGATGGGTTTCTCAATATCAGAAAAAAGAAAGAGAAATATGAAAAGGCAGAGAGCTAGAATTAAAGCCATTTACTGGTGTCAATTCATGGCTTCCAATATATAGAGATCAAAACAGAAAAAGAGTACGGACATAAAGGGCAGGAAACATGGAGTAACAAGCAACAGCAGTCCATGGCTGGGGGAGGAGCAAGGGTGTAGAGACAGACTTTCCCCGAGGCCAGACAGGGAATGACTAAAGTGGAGGGTACAGCAAGATTATTAAGAAAAACTTGCCTGCAAACCAAGCCCACTC